CCCCCCCCCCCCCCCCCCCCCGGTCTTTTGCTCTCCTAGACGAGTCTGTAGCCCCGAACCGACCCTAAAGGGATGGAAGGTCTTATCGGTACAGGTACGTACAGGGGCCGAGATAAATCGGTTCTTGCCCAGACCGACCAGACCTTCCCTCCCTGTAAGGTAGGTACGGAGCTACCAGACTCGTCTTGGAGTGCAAAAGACCGACTTATGCATCGGCTCGCCACTGCTATCCATTGTATAGGCCACGTAAATATTCTAATGTACTACGAATCCAATGGAAGTCGAATGCAGGGTGCATCCCAGGAAGGGAGGAAGGGTTAGGACCACCAGAAGACTTTACAGTCGTTTAATTCTTTGAAAATCCAATCGACTCTTAGTAGAACTGACGTGTACGTCCATAAAAAGGCTGAGAATGCCTATACATGCACCAAAAATGAAGACAGCAATGCATGCAACAAATAATATGAAACCGCAACTGAAATCAATCAATTGATTGGGCAGAACAAAGAGGTTCCACTAAAGTTTTACAGAATTGAAATGAAAATATGAATCCCAGCAAATAGCCCTTTTGAAAATACCCGGTGATATCGCATGTGGTTTGGGATGCGAATATTATAATAGCAGTACAAGTTAGACATGTAGTGACTAAGGCTAGAACAACCGTGTGCGGTGGTATTTCTGCACAAACCACCATTAATATAACGCCGGCGGATACAGTCTGAAAGAAAGGGAAAAATCATAAAAACAAAATAATAAAAAGCAAAAGAATCGACCAAAATAGAGCTGATACCAAACAGTTCCCCCATATAACTTCTGTTCCCATCGTAATTTCGACTTCTACATTGACGGAAACGGAAAGCTCGTCTTACGCAGCTGTTTGAACTAGCAGTTTGTGGGACCAGGTACAGGCCAATCATCTTTCGTTGAAAAGCCTTCTACTGGTCGAACGCCGTACTGATAGCTGCGTTCAGACTTTGTGCGAGTGGATGACTTGACGAGACTAACCGTCGGAAGCTGGACTGAGGCAAAGTCTGTGGGTCCTTATAGTATCCGTCCGTCCCGTTGGGAAACCGTCATTTCGGACCGACGCAAAATAAATAGGTTGGGATAATTAGTAAGTCTTGAGTGGAAAGCTCCAGTTGCCGGGTAGTACCGCTAGAATAAACTTACTGCTTCTTTGGGACAGTCAGCGCCAATTGGTAATAGGCATATTCATCTAGAAATCAGTGGTCGTGCGTAAGCACTTCTTTACCTCCACT